CACTCAAGCTCGCTCTCCCGCGTATTCTGACAGGTTGCCTCGTGGGCCGCCGAATGCCAAACAAGGAACGGACAAAACCAATGGGACGAAGGCACACGGGACCTAACACAAACAAAGTCACACACACACACCAAACAACCACATGGCCAGATAGAAGATTCGGTGGCTGGCCACTTGCAGCGTGCAGAGTTGGATCCATATGCCCTTCCTGCTTTCTACGTTCGCTAGGTACATATGACAGAAGATTGACACTGGAAAAGGCAAATCTATTTGCAGATTTTGAGCAATACAGAAGATGCGGATGGGGAACATGGTTTGATGTTGCATGATCTCGGCTGGAAAAGGAGTGAATCTTTACAGCAGTCCTTCCTGACACATGGCAAACACCGACATCCGAGCTCCCAGGTAATGAAAAAACATGCAGTTGGGACCCAGCCACAGGAACCGTTTTCCCTGGCCTGGTGCCAAAGTCTCTGCAAACATCCAGCCTTGAAGCCCCAAACGAAGCGGACCCTTTGGCTCCACGAATAAAAAGAACAACACCACGTGCCCGTTCTGTCTTGACACGTCAATCCCTGAGCAGTGGGGGGCCAGCACGCCCTCAGAAACCCTGCGAGGCGCCCGCGAACCGGAGATTCAGGTCAACCATCGGGAAGGAATTCGGGAAGGTCAACCATGTGACAACTTGCAGTCGCCCCAAGAAAGCCCCTTGGCTTCAGGCCCATACCCCTTGAACTGTCGAGGTTTGACTGCGCCCTATGGCCCTAAGACAAACAGAGCCGAAAAAGAGCCATCCAAGAATTTACTAGGATATCCCTTCAGCTGGAAACAACAGCGTGATTTTCCCTACCTACACCAATTCAGGCGTCTTTCTGCCCAAACCGAGCGGCCACAAAGCTGTTGCGGATGGGGGCGCACACCTCAGAACGTTCCGAGCTCTCGGAAGACCAGGATTGGGTTTTCAAAGGCCATCTGTTTGCTTGTTGGCCAAGGGTGCAACAAGAGACAAACCCACAAAGCGCGGAACTCTCATTGGAGAAACAGGAACCCATCCAAAAATCCACAAGGTAAGGTGAAAGTCAAAAGGGCAATCAAATGTCCCGGAACTGATTCTGGGTGGTCGTTGGTGTGTGTTTCCTGCTCCCGACGAGTGCGGATCCGCACAAATGGCTGCATGTAGAGAACCAGGCGGTCCCTTAATTTGAGGAAACGCTTCTTTCAGCTTTCTTTTTGATCTTCACCAAGTGATGGACATGGGGATAGATGTCCGGTTTTCCTCCCTGCAAAAACCTGTGCGGGCACAGGCCTTTCCAAGCCTGCTTGCAAAGTGGGCATGCCTTGGCATGTGAGGTGATTTTGCTGCACCAAACCCCTAGAACAAATGTGCTCAAGCGGATGGCCACGCGGTACCTTGTGTTATCCCCCTTGTCAGACACCCCCCAAACAGAATTACCTAACTACTCCTTGGGTGAACCTACATTTGGGTTCGAATCAAGGTTCCTGGATGCTACACACAAGATTCTCATTTGGGGCAAGCTGGAACCCAGTTGTTGGAACCCGCGTTTCTCTCCCAAATTCCCCTACCTCGAAGAACGCGTCCCAACATTCCCCAAACATCCCACAACCCGCCGGCTCTTCACTGCTCCAGCAATTGGAGGCACTTCTTGTTTCATGCGTCTCTGGGTCGATATATATATATATATATATCTCTCTCTCTCTCTTCGGCGCTCTGTACCCCGTCAAGACAAAGTCAAGGAAGATAATCAGTCTGGGCCCCCATAAGCAAGCCCTGGTTTCGAGCGTCTGCCATTGATGCATGCCAATGATCAAGACTTGACGCGGAGCTGCGAAAAGACACAAACGAAGTAAAAGAAACCAGCCACTTGAGAAACAATCCTCACATGGCAAGGCCTCCATAGAAATCAAGCTCTTGACTCGGTATCAAGTGAAAGGAGTAAGCCACGTCTTCTCCCGGCCCAGGCGTCCCAGCTTGCTCTTGGTTCATGCAGAAGGCGATGCACTGAGCAGTGCACGACGTTTCTTTTTTTTTTCACACAGGTCGTGTTTTTTGTTTTGTTTTGTTCTTCCAACAAAGCCGCACAAACACGGGGTATTCCCAAATCGGTGGCAAAATCAGTGACAGCTTGTTTTCGAGGGAGAGTCTAGCCCGGCAAAAGGTTCTGTAGGCAATACCCCATTAAACCGGCGCGAGGCTCAGCAGGAAGGCGTTCTCTTGTTTGGGATCACTGCACCGGTGTGTTACCAGTGTTGCTTGGGTCGCAAAAGGTTCCCTGAAAATAAAACCAAACAAATCCACTCAATCTTCTACCCTCAAATTGTGGTCATCTGCAAAAGGTCGGGCCTGATATTCTCTGGTCGCAACCAAAGGGCAACCAAGTCTCAAACTTCGAAGCGGCGCGCCTTCATCAGCTTGCACTGGAAGACAAAGTCAAAGCCCTTGGGCGACAGCTCATCCACCCTGTGCTCAAAGCGGAAGCTCGGAAGCGGAACTGGCAAACGAGCTCATGCCTGCCCCGTGCCGCTCAACAGGAGACGCTTCAGTTGGCACATTGTCTCAAACTAGCGGAAACCCCCAGCGTGGTTAGGTTTCTCTTTAAGCCAACCGCAAAAGAGTGATGGTCGAAACGAACACACCAGACCAAAGCCTGGCGCAGCTTGATTCCGCCCTTCAAGGTTCCAGCTATTGACATTTCCACGCTGGCAAAGCAGGCCTCACAACCATCCGTGTTGCCGGCCTCGTTCCATTGCCTCCAGAAAGCTTGACAACATGAGCCCCCAGAAAGGTCTCAACAAACTCGGTAAGAGCAGGCCTCTCGTAGCATCGCCGCAGCACGTCGCAGCTCTCAACCGCGTCCACTCCGTCGCACTGGCCCTGGGCTGGCCGAAATCGGGCCGCAAAGCTGGCGGCCATGGAAAAGAACGGCCAATCTAACGGAAGCTAGCGTCCTTTAATGGGTGGACAGCCACTTGGGTCTCTTGGTTACCATTGGGCATATCCGAAGCGACGGAGACCCGCGGTGCGATATTTTTGGAAAGGGTCCCGAACAGCAACTTGTTGGGGACTGTCTCACCGGGGGGGTATAGAAAAAGGGGCGGGGTGGTACAATCCACTGGAATGGAACCCGAAGCTCTGGTCTTCAGGAAAATGATCCCCTGGTCGCTTGAGGAAATTGGTCCAGCAGGTTCCAGGGTGCGAGGTAGGTGCAGGGGCAACCGTTTTCTGGCGGGTTATTGGGGTCGGTGCAGGTGCGGAACATCAAAGGTACAAAAAACACACCGTTCAGCGCCTCTTGCAAAACCGGGCTATCTCCAAGGATCAAAGGCGTGCCTTGTCAAGGAGGCAACCTCTGCAAGAGAAGGCACCTTTCGAAATCGGGTCCTGTGCGGCAAATGTTCATGCTTAACTTCAAAGGTAGAGCCCCGGTGCTTTCCGTTCGCAAGGGAAAGGTGTAGTGCAATCGACTATACTCCCTGCCATCCTTGCAAAGAGTCAGCACGCTCCGAAAACTAGCTGCACGCTTGGCCGTCAAAATCCACAAACCAAGCTTGATTCCATTGGCCCAAGAAGACCAAAGGAGCTGAGTTGCGCGAGCCACGCACATCAGAAGGCAACTCCCCCAAAAACAAAACAAAGACCAAGCAACCTACAAGCACTGAAATACCAGAGTCCTCTCTGATCCCTTTGATCCCGTCCAGTAACGCCACACAAGCTTCGCCTGAATCCCGAAGCCTGCCTGGAACACATCGCAGCCCAGAATGCAAAGACAGGAGCGCCATTCCTCCTCAAGGAATCTTCTAGCTGTGTAGCACAAAGTCTTAAGTCACATGTCAGCATTCAAGGCTGAACCTAATTGGAAAGGAGGCGGTTTTTGTTAGTGCCTAAGAGTGAAACTAAAGGAAGGGGTTCATTTCCAAGTTTGGAAAGTTTAGAGCTTTGAAGATTCAAGGCGCAAGCGAATTCCAGTCGCCTAACGTCCAAGTTAAAACATTAGAGGCCATGCCAATTCACCACAAGCCACTCAGTCTTTCCACATATGGGAGTGTCCTTTGTCAGGGATCCCTTTTGGTATTTTGAAGGGGAACCAAAAAGGGAACCGCCCGTTTTGGGGATTCCCCTCACACGGAGCCTTTTTTTTCATCAAAGAGAATCCATGGATAGGGATCACCGACCATGAGAGCGTCCTGAGTTTCTTTGGGCACACACTCTCCCGCAGATCAAAATGCGCCCCCAAAAGGCCAGAAGGATCTTTTGGACCCAATTTTCGAGCTCATGAATTTACGAGGAAGCAGCACTCGCACTCTCACCGAACGCAGGCGGAAAGAGCCAAACATGGGCGTCCTTTTAGGGTAATAGATGGCCCTGGTAGATGATTAAACCACCAGGTAAACCAGGAATCTCCATTTATTTTTCTACCAAACCAACCAAAAAGGACACCTATGGGGCCAAATCCTTTCAGAGTCCTTGCAGCAGCTCTGGCAGTGCAGCTCGGACATCAGGAAGGTGTGCGCCGCCTGAGTTCAGTCGGCTCAGACCCAAGTGGGCTTCTCGGGTCAAAACGGCTTCAATTCAAAGTGGAGAGCTCGCCTGGGGGAAGTCTCATTGGCGAACCCCTCATTTGGTTGCTGCTTACATAGGAACCCGCAGGAAACCAGCGTGTTCTGCTATTTTGAAGGGGGAGCACTCCTATGGAAACCAGTTCGGATGGAGTTTAAGACGGCGAAAGAAATGTCAAGGGATTCTTGGCGATGGGCCGGAGACCAAACAAAAGAGCCCTCAAACGCGAATGAGAAACCTTCCATTTACTTGAGGAGGTCTGAGGTGCCACTGCCAAACAATGAACTGTACCAGTCATGTCCATTTCCCCTTTTCAGCCAAAACATATTACATATGGACAGTGGAGGAGAAAACTAGGACAACCGGTCCCGTTGCCAAATCGGAGGGGTCCACTCTTTTGGGTCAAATCTCTGTGAGTGGCAACCCGTGGTGCCAGAAAGGTCGGGCAAAACTCACAACTTCAATGCCTACTTCTGAAGTGCATCCGTTGGTGGACACGAATTCCATGCCAGGGAAAGTAGGGTTACCAATTCCAAGAGGCCTCATTCAGGCACAGCAAAGCTCGAGCCTGCAATCGTCGCGTGTCATTCTGGAACGCGCCTGACACAGGAACTGCGAGTGTCCAGCAGTCAACCGCCAACCGGCCAAGCAACCGAACCAAGAACCGATTACCCCAGCAAACGAACCAACCAGACTGCCCAGCCGGCTAAACGACCCGCATGGCAGCAACATCCCTTCCAAACTCACCTCCGCAATTCAGCAGCCCATAGATAGCCTCTTTCCAAACTTCCAAACCAGCAAGCGGACCATCGAGGGTTTCGGAAGACTACCATCCTGAAAGGTCCCTTCTCCACTTCCATGATTGTCAGACAAAGGGACTTACATTTGGCCGTGACATGAGACTTCTTCATCGCCGCGCCGGCCTTCGGGCGAGAGCGCCATTGCCTTGGCGACTTGCTGCAAAAAGTTGAAATTCCCTGGTATTCCAGCGAAGCTGCTAATTGTGGAAGTCCAAAAAGGGGGAAATGAGCAAGGCCTGACCAATATGGAAAATAACCTTTCTGTGATACGTGGTTGAGTCCAATGGCAACCCCTTGGCAGTACGAAACTGTCTATCAAGAACAACTTTCCGCAACCGTGCCGACCCAACCGGGTATTGTGACATGGGAGGGCGGGGTCAGCTTGAGAGGGGCACAAGGGACGCACATGAGGGGAGGGGCAAAACAGATCTCCGAGGATTCTGCACAATCCTGGACGCATTCGTGAGAATCACCAAGCCCGGAACGCACGTTGACATCCAGACCACATGCGTCCCAATCGCTGTCGCTGGCATGCGTGACAAGCAAAACAACAAGTGCAGAGCAGCTGTGTTGTTTGCTATGCGAGTGCCACAAAGTCTTCAGCATTTGGGTGATGTGAGCTTCCGCAAGGGGACAGCGGAAATTTGGGACAAAGACTGGTGGAAAATGTTGGTGCGGGGCCCAATGTTCTCGTCAGACTAGCCATAGACTGCCAATAAAACTTGGTTGCTGTGAAAAATACATACTGAGGCATGAGGTCACGTTCGGCAGCTGACATGGCTGTTGGCCTGCTGTTGACATGTTGCTGGCATCTGCGCCGGCGCGCTGCACACCAGCCAGTCCCAGCTCGACGTTTCTCAGCTTGAGCCAAAGGCCGAAGCTCTCGCGGTATGGACATGTCCTTGACAACGGCAAGCACAACACGCACACACATACACACAAAGGTATGTCCTAACATTGGGACGAAGTATATAATGCGAATCCTTAGCAAACCAACCACTCAACGGGGACCCCATGGACAACACCCACATTGCAAAGCCTCATTGATCGTCGAACAAGGAAATGTGGTTTGGCCCACTGTGGGCAAACATCCTGCAACAAATGCCCCTACGACAGACGTATGATTGTGTTCATGCAAAGGGCAAGGGGGTGAGGACTGTTGCACGCACAAAATAAGTCCCGAAAGAGCTTTGAAGATGTTACAAGCGTACTCAGAAAAATGTAGGCAAGTGCCTGTCAAATCCACCCACGTGAAGTATGTTCCCGGATATCATGCTTCTCTTCTGTCTGAGTCCAACAGATGCAGCAAGTCTTCAGTGGGCAGAAGTATCAGACCCTGGCATCAAAGTCACATGCTTGGCAACCGCGAATATCAAGCCAAAGAACGAAATTCCATAAACGCAGTACCATTTCGACCAATCTTGCCAACCCAATCCTGCCAGTCGTCGTCAATCCGTGCAGTCAGCCCAGCTGCATGGTGTGGCACTTTTTGGTCGTGTCGCTCCTCTAGATTGGGTGTGTTGAGACATCCGTGCTCAGAATTTGCAGAGCTTCGTTGCCCAAACGCCCCGTCGCAACTGGGATGCAGCATCAGGCGATCAAACATGGCCATGGGTCAAAACCCCGTGCCCCCAGTGAACATCCCAATCCCCACTAAAATAGACTAAACATGGGTGGTGCACCTATCCCAAAATGGTACCATTGGTTTGAACCATGGCCACATGAGAACTTAGGTTGGACACCGCTCCACAAACGCGAGCCGTACGTGGTGTGATTTAGTGAACAAGCAAACATATTTTGAGATCGCGGATCATTGGAAGGAGAGACCGAGCCGCCTATGACCCAGAGTCACCCTGATAAGAAGGCTCTAAGAACCTTTTCTGCGGGGCTGGGTTTCTTGGTTTTCAAATTCTGCAACCCCGGCACTTGAGCGGCAGCGTGCGAACCTGCAGGGCTCCTGTCTATGCCGACCCCAAGTTTATCAACCGAATTTGTGGATGAGGGGATGCCCCCCCTAGCGAACCCAACCAAAAGCCCAAAAGGGGAGATGATCCCAATAAATCAAACAGGGCCTAAGTAGTCCTGGGTTCTCATTACAAGAAACCCCAGAAGGAAACTTGCGTGCAAACGGCCCAATCGGCGATCTTCAAGCAAACCAGGGCAGATTTTTTAGAACCCATGTGCATGCGCGAATCTGTCAAAATGAAGGAGCCTCTGGTGGATGTCCTCGGGAAGCTAACAAGGCCCGCCTGTTTGTGGCTATGCGTTTTTGTGCAATGCATTTTATCGAAACCAACGAAACCTCCTAGGCAAAAACAGGGCGCATGCACGAACTTGAAGACACATCCATGTACTTGCATTCCTCCAAACACAAGCACTCAGCGCATCCAAAACAGTTTGCATAGTACTTGGGAATAACATCGTATCATCAATCATGCGCCTAGCTAAATACAGCAGAATATGAGGTGTCTTGATTTCGCAGTCCTGAGCCGCTTCCCAAGTTGTAAGACAAGCAAAGGGGCGCTGCTAACAGCGCGCCCGCAGAGCTGTCAATTTCCGGCACAAACGCTGGACTTGTCTTGTCGTTCGGTGCTCTGATTGCTTTGTCTTACGGGTCGGTCTTGCGAGGCCTTGCAAGAAAGGTGCTGGTCCTCTACCATGAAACGCAGGCTTCAAGCCATAGTGACAGTAGTGCAAATGCGTCACTCCAGTTTGCAAAGAGGCCAAATAGCAGCTGTGAGCACCAATCTTGATCCTTGGCGCATAACGCATTCATTGCACTTGATGCGAGTTGTCGGCCAAAGCCAGGAATAAATTATGCAATTCTGGGGGTCTCTCATGTTTCCTTCGCGCGCACGCCCTCTGTCGCACGCCAAAGGCGGGGCTCAAGCATTTGCGCTGGCGTGCGGGGCATTTGGCATGCAGGGTGGGCGCTGTGTCCGTCCGAGTGCTCGATTGGTTGCATCCAGCCATGGTTGAAATCGTGCCAGACTACATTCACAGCACAATGGCCAGGAAGAATTTGATGGTCAACAAATCTCATTCAGAACGCCATCCATGGTTGTCTCGTACAACACACACAGACACCCCCACACACACACACACACCCTGCACACACACAGACACACACACAGACACACACAGACACACACAGACACACACAGACACACACAGACACACACACACAGACACACACACAGACACACACAGACACACACAGACACACAGAGACACACACACACGCATGCGCACGCACGCACGCACGCACAAGCAAGCACGCACGCACGCACGCCCACACACACACACATCTCAGACACATGCGACGCGGCCACATGTTTGAGGGGTCCGAAGAAACAAGACAAAGGTTTCAAGCCGAACAAATCGATGTACACTGGAAAAACGCAGGTACACGGCACAGGCCGCTTCACAGCACATCTACCACCGCCTTGTTGGGCAGTGGACGGTAGAGTGAAAGTAAGCGAGGTGAGGGCCTCATCCTCCACGATCAAGCTAAGAGGTTCCAAACCTGCTGTCCACGTCCGCGGTCGAATGAACGGTTATGAGACATGGTGCAGGGCCCATTGGTGATCTCCGGCACTGATTGAAGGCTTGGGCCCCAACCCGAAATGTAAGATTGAGCGCACGTCCGCAGCGGATGGCGTATTGATGGACAGCTGGTCTGCGCTGGCGTCCCCGAAATAAGCGTAGGGTCAGCTGCTTTCCGCTTTGACAGCGGAATGCCCAGCGTGCTGGGGATACTTGGCAAGGTATCGTGTCCACCACACGTCGGACGCGGTCAAACATGAGAGGTGACAAGTCGTGAGCATGGCACGTGTTGGCCGTGAGCGTGACAAGCGTGACAAGCGTGACATGGCATGACATGACATGAAGGGGAATGCATGACATGACATGAAGTGGAGCGCGTCGTGTCATGGAATGGCACGGCATGCTTTTAATGATGCGGTCGTACATGTGGCGCCAGTGTCCATTGCCATCATCTGCGTGGGCTCGTCGATGATGTACCCCTCGCAGAGTGGGTTGATGAGCAAATCCTCCTTGGGGCCGCGGAGTTCACTGGCGTACCAATCATGACTGAGAGGACGGGAGTGAACGAAGTGAAGAGGATGCCACCCATGTCCGAAGACTGCGAAGATGTCGACCGGGGACGGTCACGGTCTAGCGTCCCAGGCCTTGTTGGGCAGTGGACGGTAGAGTGAAAGTAAGCGAGGTGCGGGCGTCATCCTCCACGATCAAGCTAAGAGGTTCCAAACCCGCGGTCGAATGAACGGTTATGAGACATGGTGCAGGGCCCATTGGTGATCTCCGGCACTGATTGAAGGCTTGGGCCCCAACCCGAAATGTAAGATTGAGCGCACGTCCGCAGCGGATGGCGTATTGATGGACAGCTGGGCTGCACTGGCGTCCCCGAAATAAGCGTAGGGTCAGCTGCTTTTCTTCTTTGACAGCGAAATGACCAGCATGCTGGGCATACAGGTGACAAGTCGTGAGCACATGGATTGGCCGTGAGCGTGACAAGCACGACATGGCATGACATGACATGAAGTGGAATGCATGACATGACATGAAGTGGAGCGCGTCGTGTGATGGAGTGGCACGGAATGCTTTTAATGATGCGGTCGTAGATGCGGCGCAAGTGTCCATTGCCATCATCTGCGTGGGCTCGTCGATGATGTACCCCTCGCAGAGTGGGTTGATGAGCAAATCCTCCTTGGGGCCGCGGAGTTCACGGGCGTACCAATCATGACTGAGAGGACGGGAGTGAACGAAGTGAAGAGCATGCCACCCATGTCCGAAGACTGCAAAGATGTCGACCGGGGATGGTCACGGTCTGGCGTCCCAGGCCGCTTCACAAGATCTACCGCCGTCTTGTTGGGCAGTGGACGGCTGAGTGAAAGAAAGCGAGGCCCGGGCCTCATCCTCCATGATCAAGCTAAGAGGTTCCAAACGTGCTGTCCATGTCCGTCGTCGAATGAACAGTTATGAGGGCTTGCCGGGTTGCCCGTTGGTGATCTCCGGCACTGATTGAAGGCTTGGCCCCAACCCGAAATCACCGCAGCTGCAGGACAGCTTGTAAGATTGAGCGCAGCGTATTGATGGGCAGCTGGTCTGCGTTGGCGTCCCCGGAATAAGCGTGGGTCAGCTGCTTTTCCTCACAGTGGAATGCCCAGCATGCTGGGGATATTTGGCAAGGTATCGTCTCCACCACGCATCGGACGTGGTCAAACATGACCTGTCATGACAAGTCGTGAGCATGGCATGCATCAGCCGTGAGCATGAGACGCATGACATGGCTTGACATGACATGAAGTGGAGCTCGTCGTGTCATGGAATGGCACGGCATGCGTGTAATGATGTGGTCGTAGATGTCGTCCAAGTGTAAGAATGGTCCCGTGCATGTCGATTGCCATCATCTGCGTGGGCTCGTCGATGACGTACCCCTCGCAGAGTGGGTTGACGAGCGAATCCTCCTGGGGCCGCGGAGTTCACGGGCGTACCAATCATGACTGAAAGGACGGGAGTGAACGAAGTGA